CGCCTCATCCACTAAAAGATCGTGGATGATATGAGTCTTATTCTTGACCAACCTGGCATTACAGAGAAGCAGGTTGAGGGTCAGTGGAATGGTTGGCACGCTCTCCAAGTTATCCTGGGAGACAGAGCAAACTGAAGGAGGGATAGTTATTAAACATCGATCCCTCCTTCTTTTGTAACATTTGTTTGCTCTGTTGCCACCATACCTTCCCTGTCCCCACACAACCTGAATATCCACTCCCAGACTATAATCAGCTCCAACATGTGGGGAGGGAGATGAGTGGCTAGCTGATTCCAGTTCTAATTTGAAACAGCAGCTTCGAGGGAAAGAAAGGCTGCGGAGGAAGACAGTTCTCCAAGGTCGCCACAGCTGTTCTAGCCGCTCTCAGGGCCGCTCCAGGTGACATTAATCAAACTGCTAAATCCTTCAGGCAGTCTGGAACTCTCTAGCGGCCCGAGACACCATTGCTGCTAAATATAGTAATACAGAGAAGCTAGAGAATTGTGACATTCGGACCAGTCTCAGCAATAAAGCACAAATCCTATGCCCCTTCTCAGTGATGGTAGTCAGGGCCGGCTGAGTCCTCCTCTCACGGCTCCCAGGGCGCCGCAGTCGCTCTGTGTTGCCAGGGGAAGATGGTGCCACGCGGGTTTAAATGCCCGCGGCTCCTCCCGGTGCCACCGCCTCTACAGCTCACTCTGGCAGCCCAGCTGTTCTCAATCGGGCTGATCGGGCCGGCTGAATCCTCCTCTCACGGCCCCCAGGGCGCCGCAGTCGCTCTGTGTTGCCGGGGGAAGATGGTGCCACACGGGTTTAAATGCCCGCGGCTCCTCCCGGTGCCACCGCCGCTGCAGACCACTCTGGCAGCCCAGCTGTTCTCAATCGGGCTGATCGGGCCGTCTGAGTCCTCCTCTCACGGCCCCCAGGGCGCCGCAGTCGCTCTGTGTTGCCGGACATCCATAAAAACATCCATCTGGTGGTAGTGGAAGACTTAATGGCGAAGGAAGAATGTGCACACTGTTTGCAAAGGACTGGAGACACTCTTTTTTGGCCAGCCTTACACCTTCTCATGAGTTGAGGCTGGTCTGGTCTGTGACAGCCTGCTATCAAGATCCATCCAACCAGCAGGATCTAAAGAGAAGACCTTTTAGTGGTGGCCCCCCGTTTCCAAAATATTCTCCCAAAGAAGCCTGGACTCACTGGAATGCAGGAATATACACCTTATATTGAGTGAGACTATTGTTCTGTATCACAAAATACTGTCAATTTAGATTAGCAGCCATGGATGTCCAGGGTTTCAGGCAGAATTCTTCCTAGCCCAACCTGAAACTCCTGGTCCAATCCATGTACTAACCAGGTCTCACCTCGCTTAGCTTCCAAAGTAAGATGAAAGAAGATGTCTTCAACTATGGTGGACCTGTCTTTGGCTACTGCCGCACTGCAGAATTAATATGGTTTGACACCACTTTAACTGTCACGGCTCCATCCTATGCAATCCTGGGATTTGTAGCATGTTGTAGCACCAGAGCTCTCTGACAGAGAAGGCTAAATATCTCACAAAACTACAAATCCCAGAATTCCACAGCATTGAGTCATGGCAGTTAAAGCAGTGTCAAACTGCATTAATCCTGCAGTGTAGATGCAGTCTTGTTTAGGTTGTGTGCCGTCAAGTCGTTTCCAAATTGTAACAACCCTAAGGCAAACCTATCACAGGGTTTTCTTGGCAGAGGTTTGCCATTGCCTTCTGAGGCTGAGAGAGTGTGACCTGCCCAAGGTCACCCAGTGGGTTTTATGGCCTAGTAGGAATCGAACTTTGGTCTCCAGAGCCATAGTCCTGCACGCAAACCACTACACCACATTGGCTCCAGATGCAGCCTTAGTTGGCTTTTAAATTATCTTTTAAAACTGATTTCAATTTGCAATTTCCTACAAGTCTTGTGCTGAGTTCTCAAGCAGCTGCTGTTGTTTAAATTATTGCTTTAATTATCTCTAAGCCCCTTTGGGAGGGCTTTACCTGAGAAGACAGCATATAAATTTCTTACATAAATAAATATGCAACACAATGCATTAACAAACAAGGGTAGATTTTCAATGCAATCGTGAAAGAGACAAATGCATCGCTGAACCACACTTGTTTTTTTTTTAAACAAACCAATTAAATCAAGACAGCTATAAAACTAAATGCTGGAAGAATGATATAGTTTGAATTAATATCTGGTGATATGAATTTAATATGTATGCATATATTAACAAGAAAACTCTAGGCTTGTTGGCCATCCCAAGCATCATGGCTTTCTCTGGCAACAGATGCCAGGCACCATGAATGCAGAAAAGCTGTCAGTTTAATTATTTTTGTGCCATTTGGATTTTTTGGGACAGGAGTTCTTGTGCCATGTGCATTTTCTTCCTCCAGTTCAAATATAGAGTGGTTCAATGCCCCCAAAAAGGGTAGAGAAGCTTGTTCCAACTTTGCACACCCTGGGAAATGAGTCAAGACAGTGCAGTGGTTCAGTTGTAACTGTTCCAGAAAGTCAAGCATCTGTAATTATATTATGAGAATGCAAATCTCTGGATTTAATTCACAGACAGCACATTATCAGCATTCTTGAAGAAACACTGATGTAAGTAAGTTATACCTGATGCAGTCACCTGAATATCAAATAGAGCTGTTAAGAGGCAGTGGGTTCCTTGTCAGTGGGGCAATGGAGCCACTCCGGGTTTTTGGAGGAGCTATCCAAGGTGCTGAAAGCAATCCAAAATGATTTCCAAACCCTGGATAGTTCCTTTAAAGTTTTGACAAAGATCAGGAATAAATTCACTGTCGCCATGATATGGAAACCTGCATGGCTGTTTTCGTACGTCAAAGGAAAATTCATTTTTTTTAGTTTCTTAAGGGAAGTTAGGCAATTTTGCATGAAGAGGGAAAAAAGGAATGCTGCCAGCATTGTATCCTGGGACAGGGAATGGAGAACACTTCCTAGGGCAGATGTCTAAAACAAGGTGCAGCCCCATAGCATCCTTCGGAGCACATATCTGGGACACGTGCCCTGAAGGATGCAATGGCTGCATTTACGCTGCAGAAATAATCCAGTTTGACATCACTCTGACTGCCGTGGTGCAATGCTGTGGAATCCTGGAAAATGTAGTTTTGTGAGATATTTAGCCTTCTCTGCCAGAGCGCTCTGGTGATGCAACAAACTACAATTTCGAGAAATCCATAGGATGGAGCCATGGCAGTTAAAGTGGATTATTTCTGCAGTGCAGATGCAGCCTACGGGATTGCACGATCCCATCAGTCCTAGCCTTATGGATGATGGGAGCTGCAGTCCAATGAAATCTAGAGGGCTGCAAATTGCCAACCTCAGAGAGATATATGCAAGAAGCAATCTGTCAGTCCAGCATAATCATATAACATATATGGACTACAACATTTGGATTGGACTGGTTTGTGTGGCAAGTGCATATCTGAAAACATTTTGTCTGGTTGAGAGTGGAGAACCTCATGGTCAGCCTAGTCTTCTCCCTGATGTATTTATTTTCTTCAAGCATGGAATTATTGTGGAAGGGGAAGGAAGTATACAAATGGATGATTCTTCTTCTGCATCTCCAACAGTCTGGAATGATCTGTCCAGGAATGGGCAAAGGATATCTTAGAGGCTGCACCTCCTTGCAAAAATGATCAATGAAATCCCCCATTTTTTTGCTCAGGTGGCTTGGGAGACTTTTGTCACATTTCTGGCCCCTCTGGGCAATTTTAGGCCTTTTTTTAAAAAAACAACACCACAGGTGACCCACTTTTGAATCCTTGCTCAGCCACTGAGTACCTTTGGCCAAGTCACCCTCTCTCAGCCTCAGAGAAAGGCAATGACGAACTGCCTCTGAATCAATCTTGCCAAGAAAATGCTAAGAGAGGGTTGCCATAAGTCGACTTGAAGGCATGCATGTTACAAGAACAAAATATATTGCGGCACAAAAAAGAAACCCAAGGTAATTAGGAGCATGCAATTGTGGAACATTTTATTTTATTTTA